TTGCGCCCTACGAACCATCAAACCAGCCGACGACCCTTCCCCCCCCTCTCTCTCTCTGTTCTTGCCGTTCCCGCGTTGGTGCGACCCCAGCAGCTGCGCCGGCTGATGGCGGCAGTGTAACCTTTGACCCTCTGGCCCCGATGCGCCGAGGTAGATAGAGTGTGCGTGTGTATGCGACAACTCACGCGCGTGTGCCTCATTTTTCTCTGCAACTGTGAGACAGCCGCGCACACATGCCTGAGTGCTTTGCTCCCGTCATATTTCCTTCCTGGAATACGCGCTGGCGGAAACCGGACCGTCTACCCATACGCACACACGCACTCAAGGACAGGCCTGCGCATACATCAGGCGTGCGTAAGTGTAGGAGTCCGCGCACCTGCGCGACCCTGTAACCGCACGTGCCCATAGCTGTCGCCGCCGCGCGCGACGGTGAATCACCTCTCCTGCGTGTCCCACATGTCCAAACCTCGGGCGCAGGCGGGGGAGGGGAGGAGGAGGGGAGACGCATGCAGCCCTGGAGCCTGGCCTGGAACTCTACTGACGGAGACAAAGCGTATGTAGGAGTCCGCGCTTGCCGGCTGTTTGCGCTGGGCGGGAATAAAGAAGTGGGACGGGGACTGTTTTGGTTCTGTTTATGATGCGGAGCTCGGTTTGCCAGACCGTTTCTATAAAGCTAACTGTTGTCCGCTAGGAGGGCAATCAGAGTGCCTTCCCGGCGGAGGAGTCGCAGCATGCTTTGTGTGAAAATTCGTGCGTTTATTTTTGAGAGAAAGAGGGATGCGGAGAAAATACAGCCTTGTCTTTTAGTACGGATAACTTTTCGAACGAGAATTAATTCTTAAAGCATAAAAATGATAAATCTGCTCAAGCCATAGGGTTTGTTGGAAGCACGGCAGTTGTTAGAAGGAATCACCCACTGTGTTAACATTTTATGTGGTTGACGTTTGAACATGGTTTGCCAGCCACATCAATGCGTCCATTGACGGGATCTAGCAGGCTGAACAACAAAATCATGGGAGCACCCATAGACACCAAAACTAATGAAGTGAGTCACTATGCGAGAATCGTTCGATAAATCAACCGTTCAAGTCGTTCAAAAAGTATTAAAGTAATTAAGAGCTGACATTACCAAACGTTACGACTAATCTAGAGAGAAGGAGCAAGAGGCGTTGTCTTCGTGTACAGATGCAGGAAATTTGTCAAGAATAAGTGAATGGCGAAAAGTTGCGATTCAAACTGAAAAGTCTGCTTGTTTTTTCTAATACTATCGTGCTGAGATCCGAGTGTCAGTTGATGCAAAATTCTGTTTATACTAGCTAACCACGTCTACATGATCCTTCCTCTACCTAAGTGAATTTCCTGCAGCTAGTTATACAGAGAAAGACGGGGGGACTACTGTGGCTGCCCTCGGGAGAGTATACTCAGCTAACCATAACTCACTCGGATCTACAACAAATGAGAGACCAACGTGGAGAAGCCCCTGTGTATAAAATAAGATCCACATCCCTGTGTTAACGTCATCTGTTTTGTCGTTTGAGATCGGAATAATTGTGGCTGCTTTACCTAATCACAGAGTGTCGTACAAAGCTTGGTTCTACCCTTGCATGTATGGCCTTGCTTGTACTTCCGTCTGGCACCGCTTTTCATCGTAGTTTTTCAGGTGGCGGAAGCGCAAGCACCAGTTGCGGAATCTAATCTCAAACTGTCATCAGGTCAGACGCAACTGAGTCTCAATGGCTGGAACTGCAACCAGGGACAGTGTCATGCGGGGGTGTACAATAGGTTTTGCCTCGCCCTGCGCGTGCCTCAATGAGTCGCCGGTTTGATTTCTCCACCCAAACCCACCTTTAAATGCTCACATAGTACCGTCCATAAGAAGAATTGTCAAGGAGGCATCAGAGACACCCTTGTCCATCCTAATCCGCCAGTCAAAGCTGTTTCTGATATCTATCTGCTGTTAATGGGAAGTTTGCGGATATAATATCCGTGGGATTCTGTGGAAAGGCGACCGCAGTAAGAAGTCGATTGGGTTGAAAGTCTAGGTCGAATAAAGGAAAGGTCAACGTGAATAAAGGGTTTGTGGATATCTGACGAATACTTTTCCCTTGGGGAGTCATTTTTACGTTTATGCAGGCGATGCAAAAAATCGGATCTTGGAAAGATCGCGTGGAAATTTTGACCGAACAGTGGTTGAAAGAGTGTCATAAAAATTTCGCCATGAGGAGGAGGTCACCAAGTCACTTTCCTCCCGCCCGTACGAGGCAGAGAGAATTCCATAAAATGAGGATCAGGAGGCTAGGCCCAAAATAGGACTGTATAGAAATCAGCAAATGGGTCAGGATGGTCAACCACGTCTGGGGCGCATTGGGACTGGAGGCAGAGAGATGACTGCCCGATGAGGATGTAGGCAAGTCGGTTGAGGAATAAGGTAAACCGAGGTTTTGACAGTTTGCAGATGATCAGTATAATAAGCATGTTTCCCAACAGAGAAGAGGGTTTAATGCCCCTGTATGAAGGCTAAGACTTTGGGAAGAATAAGGAAGATAGGCAGAGTGACATTGTCGACAAGTACTAGGAAGATTGGAATGGCCATTTCTGGCTTATTAACCGTAGTCAGCCGGCCATACCCACCACCGCGGGCTCGATCAAGTCACCTGTTTGTTAGAAGTCCAGCCTCCCTAACCAATGAGTCACGAGTTTGTTGTCCTGTCGGCTGCGATGGGACGTATATGATGGTAGAGGGACGTTCACCGATCAAGTTACGGGACTCATTCTTCCCGTTGTGCGTTGGGGCTCTCTCTATCTCTCCCCCTCTCTCGGTGCGCGTCCCCCTACTATTGTTAATATTCCCGATCTCAACCGGCAGGACAACGAGCCTATGACGTTGGACTTCTAACAAGCAGGTCGCAGGATCGAGCCCCAGGTGTTGCACGCCTCGGGGTTGGGTATGGCTGGCTGACGACGGCTAATAAGCCGGTAGTGACCATTCCAGTCTCCCTTGTCACTTTCGGCAATGTAATTCTGCCTATATTAGAGATAGAGACCCAAGACACCGGGGACCAGTGAGCCCCGTAACACGATCGGTGAGCGCCCCTCTACCACTAAGGAAGATGCTTGTTCTGTTCGATAGATTGTGCGGCATATTTACTAAGAGTTTTTAAACGGAGTGCTGTGGGCCATGAAAGTGGTTAGCTCATGGCGAAATCCACTTCATCGCGCTCTTCAAAAGCCTCTTTGTGAAGGAGATCACATTGCCAACCACTTTGCCCTGATGCAAAAAGGTTGGAAGTGTTACGTCAAGGTTCTTATGCGTAAAAGTGCCCATTGTGTGCCACCCGGGATTCCACCGACGAATAATAAAGTCTCGTTCTTCGAATTTTAATTAGAAGACAAAGTAGACTCGCAAATGACTACGAGTTTCCCCGAGAATCCAGTGTAAGCCTGTATACACGCATTACGCCATGGCAAGCTAGGCACATTCGCACCGGAGGACTACATGGACATTTGATTCACACGTTTTTCCAGCAGAATGTCTTTGTCTCAACCTCTCAAGTGCAACTGTGTCGAAACAATCAATAGAAGTTAAACCCAAAGAGGAACCTACGGGAAGCGAGGTAACTAATAACCGCCTCAAGTTTTACTACGCACTTCATTATCGGCTTTCAGCAGGACCAGAGCACTGCTTGTCAGGTTATACAGTTTTCTCTACCTCCCTTATCTCCCCTATATAGACCTACTGATTTGCGTGTCATACCTCTAACAACCATTGCATGCGTCCGCAGTGCACTGTCACCAGCTGGGGAATAATCATTCTACAGTCTTTGTCATATCGCAACAGTCAAGCAGTGACGCGCTATGTAGATGAATGACATGCCCACAACGGACCTCCTGGTCGGAGATGGGGTTATTCGAGCGTCGTGTGCTTCTACGATCTGCCTGTCATGTGTCGGTCTCTTCGGCCACCTATGGGGAGGCAGACGGCGCCGGGTTTTCGTTACTCCGAGTCCACGCATTCTTATTTTCCGGTCAGACGCCAGGACGGAACCTCTGCGCACAACCTGAGAGCGCCTAACCAGGGGAGAGGACAGTGTAGGGGGAGGGGACGAGTGAGGGGACACCGACTCATACATCCTCCCGGACTCTACTCCTTGCCGGCCCCCACTTCCCCAACCTGTCCTCCAAGCGGGTTTGCTATTAAGGTGGAACAGAGGAGGGGGAGGGGAGCTGAGGACGGGTGCTGTCCACTGTCGGCCTCGTTACCCGCCCCAGCGACGTCAGTGTGAGTCAGCCCAGCATGTGAGTTTTTAATTGGGGAACAGAAATTGGAGACCGCGACCCCTGGCACGCGTGCGCACGTGCCTTCTCGTTGAGGGGAGTAGGGTTTATCTCAGTCTGGTCCCTTCGGCGGCACATGTATAGCACAGGACTGACCGACATGAGTTGTGCAAATTAGTGGATTTGATGTGTGTGTGTTGGGGGTGGCTGCGACAGGCAGGAAGCGCGAGACTAGCACGTGCCTCCGTTTGTTCGCATGTCAGCAGCTGGATGGAGGACGCATGCACGCAGAGGAACAGTGACCAACAACTGGTGAGGCAGAAAGCACCATATCGATCTCCTTTCCCGTTCCTGTGGTTGACTTGAGTGGGGGAAAACAAAAGACCACAAGTAAATACGTTAGTCTTACTAAATGCTCAACTTAAAATTTGAAGCGTAACCGATTACGAAGCGCATTGCAACAACCGTTTAGAGGGAGGACGCTGATTATGAAACATCAGAAAGGAAAGTAAGCGGACAGAAACCGATGGATAGAAAACTGATTATCAGCTTGCAATAAGATTGTACAAAAATTAGTAGATCGCCGTATGTGATTTAACAGAAATACAAGAGGATAAAGGGAAGTTATAACGTTTGCTTGTGAACTTTAACACCGTTACCGACAACTGGTTGCCAAGAGAATATAGTATAGGGAGGGTGGTGTGGGAAGATAACCCCATCCGTCAATGTACGGCCAACATCACAGGACTTCAGCTTCAGTGACCTCTGTTTCCCGTATCACCACCACCACCACCACCACCACCACCACCACCACCACCACCACCACCACCACCACCATCACCACCACCACCACCAGCACCACCTTGCCACTTTTATTGCCCGATCCGAGAATTCATGAAACCTGCCTTCAGGATGGTGGAAAAAGTGGTAGGTGGAGCTACAGTGAGTGACTGATCTCATGAAATGTTGGCTGAAATTCTGAAATACGTTTTCGATTAGGAAGGATTACCTAGGTGGAGTTGCAATATTGATTATCTTGCGGCCCAATCCTATGATATTTCGGACTTACAGGGATGTCAGCTTTTGAATGTACTTCTTTTCAACCGCCTGTGGAAACCGTACTCGACGAAAAATGACTACTTAAGTAGCATGCATTTTCGCACTGATTTTAGATGGTTTTATAAATTCACATATATTTTATAGAAGCCACGAACAAAAATATGCTTTCTTCCGGTCGTCTGATAGAGAATCAAGTCATCTTTATATTTCTTACTCAAAGAAGGAATATAATTAGGTTTTAAAAATGTTTCTAATTATGAGATTTTTTGAGACCGTGCAGTGTCCATTCATTCAGCATCGTATTTGTCAGCTTACCACTGCTTCTCATGAAATGCACAACATAATCCGCATCCGTTGCAAAATTTCGTGAACTCTACATTATATCCTCTTAAAGGCATAGAAGGATATTTGATTTTCCTTGCGCCAAACGCATTCACCTTGTAGACTGAAATAACTAAGCGCTAATGAAAGGGCTGATCAGGCCCCGAATTATTCGGGAATTAGAAAATATTTTTAAAACCTAATTATACTCCTTCTTCGAGCATGAACTATGAAGATGACGTGATTCGCTATAAAATCAGTAGAAGAAAGCATGTTTTTGTGTGTGGTTTCTATAACATATGTTTAAATTCTCAAGACCATCGAAAATCAATGTACAGAATGCACGCTACTTAAGTAGTCATTTTTCGCTGAGTACGGTTTCTACGGGAGATCGAAATGAGAGGCATTCAAAAGCCGTAATCCTGCCGAGTTCAAAATAATACAGGATTTTGTCGCGAGATAATCAATATTGCAACCCCACCTAGGTAATCCTTCCTAATCGAAAACCTATTTCAGAATTTCAGCCAACATTTCACCGTAATTACTCGTAAAGGCAACTAAGTCTGCAAGGTATAACCTGGACAGAGCTAAGTTATGAAGTCATCCCACCTGCCGTATCTTTCAATCGCTCGAATCTTCTGCTTCAGGCATTTGGGAACCACGGCTGACAGCCTCGATCCTCCCATCGTTCGTGGGGTCTCTATACTTCAACCTCCAGCATACGAATAAACCCCCCAGCTATTGCATATAATGACTGACTGTTGTAAATAATCAAACAATCTACAGACAGATGCCTGATTTCCGCAGGTATTTCCATTTCCAGAACATGGGCTTCCATGCCTGCAAGTATTCGTCAGACATAGAGCTGACAGTAGTTTCTGTGGATGCCTCGATGCGCTTCTGAGACTTCCAACTCCCTAAACGATTTCCTGCCATGTTACTAGATATTGGTATGACAAGATCTTAGAGACGGATGAATTGACTTCGCGTCAGGCGTATGCGTGATGAGGGTGAATGACCCAGAGTCTTTCGAGTCTCCCGAAACAAAGGAGGTGGGCAACGCTATTATCACAGTGGGTCAAATGCTCGTACGTACGGATGGAGGCACGAATGCTAGCAGTTGGCTGACACAGGTGCGTCATGTTCGGTTGTCATATTCGCCGCAGTTAAACGTATTCGAAAGAGATGGGACAAGTGCGAGACCAACACTGCTCACACTTAAGCAGAGTTGAGCAGACTGGTAAAAAGCCTACAATGTTGTTTATGAGCTTACACTGCAACTTCCTTAACAATTGGGTGACCAAAGGTTTGTAGCTGGAGATAGGGCCACAAAAAGACACTCACAAGCGCATTAGCTACGATCTTAGAATACCTTTCTTTGGTGAATTGTCCATTTTTCGCCTCTCCCCTTATAACAGTACATTTTGGGCAGCTTACTTCTCCCTCCCGGAAGCATGCCTGTTATGAAAGCCCACCATCATGGCCTAATTTTCGAAAATAAATGAATTCCCAGAGAACTGGACATTCAAAACAAAGGGAAGCCTGCTTTCACGGAGGCATCTCCAAAAGTACACAAGAAAGAGTCAGGGATAAGTAACCCGGTGTACTGCGTTCAATCTGTTTTCTGACAAATACCGCCGTCAGTTTAGCGCATGCATCGAAGGCGCGGTCGTCCCCTGTAGCGGGTGCCCTTGTCTAAGTCTTGACTGGCCACTTTCGTCTGCCGACAATCCCCTAGTCTCCTCTTGGCACACTCGCTCGAGGCTGAATCCAGACGTCTACCAAGCAAAGCAGTGTTTGCTGTTCTACCGATGACAGGGTTTTGTCCTTACGAGGAAGTATATGCTCTTCTAAATGTAGCTGATTCCCTCAGAGATTATCATAGTCCAAGCAGCAAAAGACAAAAACGCCGTCATTTTATTAAAATAATCGACCTGGCACTACTAGCCCGAGAGGATAGGCCCATATTGGACATTTAAAGCCCTCCTTAATGGTCTAACCGGTTGTTCTACTCGTATTTCGGCAGTCAACTAAAGCAAACAGGGCGTGAACCCATGGCTCATCGGTAATAATTTGGCTTCACTGTTCAAACCCCGAGCACTCGGGTTTCATTTCCAGATCAGTCTGAATTCAACAGTCAATCAACATCCTATACCTTTTATGCCGTAATTTGCATGCATTGAAAACAAGACGACGGCAATTTCTTCACCGACACACTCTCCCCGTTCCCCAAAATCCGTTGCTTCCTCTCCCCCTGCCATCTCGCACGAATTCGTTAAAGACGCGTCAGTTTGTTTATTTCGTTTCCTAACAAAGTGTCCTTTTTGAAGAGACGAGCGAAGAAGTCTAGAAAGTTGTCTCGATTGGTAAGCAGGTGGGAAAAGTATTTTTTGTGGACATGTCGCCGACACGCTTACCCTACCCGACTTCCATCGCTACTGTGCCGCCTTCGCCAGGTGAGCCCTCCCCCTCCCCTGTTGTCATCTTGTAAGCATCTTCGGTGGACCGGAACGCATACAGCCGTGTCCAGAACGTCACTAAGATGGTGTGGTACATGCGCGCGTTATACAAACAAACCGGACGACGTCACAGTTTTTGGAAGGACATTTTACTGGTCTTAGCGCGCAGAGGGGCACGTGACAGATGTGTTTATACCAGGGACTGCGGAGCAAGGTTTGGACTGTGGTGGCGCGCATCACTTACCAACACCGTAATGAAGAGAGTGGTTGTGTGACCTTGTCCCTACTTTTGCGATGTACCGCAAACAAAACCCTTCTGCAACGACTAGACCGTCGAACTACATGGACATGATGGACCAGAAATTGGCGCCAACCGACAGTATCCAGCCTGGTTATATTTGATTGTTTAGAATCCTTTGAGAGGTTTTAACAAAGTCTTACACAGGCAAATATGCAGCGTTGTGCTTTGTCCACTTGGATAAAATGATAGGTTACTTTTACACGAGTCGCCATATCGGAGAAACTTTGGTTACCACAGATAGTAAGGAGGAGATGGTAGGTGCACATTTAGGGGAGAGGTGTAAATTACGATGGACTCTGGAAGATCAAGTTGTCCCGAGTGATTCGCGCACATGGTGCGTCAGCTTCGCGACGGAATGGTGGTGCGTGTCAAGTACAACGGGAAGGTCTCAGAAGCCTTCACAGAGACTAATGGACTGGAGCAGGACTGCATACTCACTCCTACCTTCTGCACCCCATTTCCCCTGCCATGTTGGTGGACGCCTACTGTGGTGACCAGCCCCGGGATCATCATCGTCTACAGGACCGGCGACCGGTGACTGCGAACCGCTACGCGCACTCTGCCGTCTACGAAATCCTCTTCGAGTACGCCTGTGCGGTCATGCAAAGAAGCATGGGCCCCTTTGCCTTCGGCTGTCCAAACTTCGGACTGATCATCATCAGCACGGACAAAACGGTGGTCATGCACTAATCAGCACCAAAGGAGGAACACGCCACGCTCAGCATCAGTGTGCGTGGAACACGGCTCTTATCCATGTACAAGTCCACCTGCGAAGGCAGTATCATTTCGAACAACACCAAGATAGTCTGCGAAGTGGTCCACCGGACCTCCAAAGCCAGCCAGGCATTCGGTCAGCCGCAGGCCTCCGTCTGGAGCCGCCACGGACTTCGACTCAACACGAAGCTCAAAATGGGCAGGACGGTAGATGTAACAAGGCTACTATACGGGCTGTAGACATGAACCGTCTACCAATAGAAGTGAAGAGACGAGTCGCAGGGAGTAGTCTTGAAGAAGGAGACACGATTGCTGGGACAAGAGCTTTATTAGCATGCCCTTTCGGATTCCTGATCGAATCCATCATCAGAGGCAACAGCAGATACGGGTGATTCACGCACAAGGGGCTGCAGTATTTATAGGATGCAGTCGCCATGCTACCGCATACCTATGAATATTCACGCCTCCCTCCCCTTCATCAGGGATCGTTGCACGTGGCGTGATGGCCGACATTCGCGTCGTTAATTGCTGCATTTTCATCACGTGTGTTGGATGTTGGTGTGACGATTGCTCGACCATCTGACGCGCTGACCCGGGTGTTGAGAAGAGTGTTCACCTGTGCGCTCCCCGCGTGGCCAATTACCCTGCCTAGACGAAGTCTCAGCACCGAGTATGGAATGGGAAGTTCATTGCACTTGTTAATTGACTGGGGGCCAGTGAACCATGATTTAAGTAACTCCTGGCTCACGCGGTTGTCACCTCTTGCCAATCAAACCATGAAACCCAACCACTTCCGCCGCAGATGTCCCCGGTGAATACTAAAGCTGAGATAACAGGACAGGATCCCGTACACGGGAGTTTTGGAACGAACCGGCATCCACTGCATGTTGATGCAACTGAAAATGCGATGGAGTGGCCACCTCATGAGGATGGACGACGAGCACCACCCAAGTGACTCTTTAACGACGATGTCGCTACGGGTGTTCGCCGGCAAGAGGAGTAATAGTGACGCTACGAGGACAGCCTAGGGATCTCCCTTAAGGATCTACAAACAAATCCAGAGGCCTGAGAGGACCTTGCCAGGGGAAGAACAGTGAAAGGTCTAAGAGAAATTTACGAAGCCATCCAGATCGTCGCTGCCAAAACCAAAAGAGTGGCTCGGAAGTCTCAAGCGTCTCCGACCCACAACACTAACACCTCACCCCTTCTAGCATACCCACACTTCCAACGAACATTCTGCGCACGGGTCGGTCTCGTCGGACATTTCGCACCCAATGCGACAACAACCCGACAACTCCGCCTGCTGCCTTCATAAACGCCTCCGCCCCCCCTCCCCCCCGACGGTGACCATCGCCGCCGCCGTCGCCACCACCGTCGCCACCATCACCATCTCCACCACTAATGTAGCCTCGATCGCACTTTCGCACCACGCATCGGCCTGATGCGAGTCCACACCATAGAAACTGGTGCATAAGCGCCAGGAGCCTCGACATGCACAAGCCGCATCCGCATCCACTGTCCGCACCTCCCACAAACAGTCACCTCATGAACCTAGTCGGGCACATGCGTATCCATGACAGCGGAATTTCCCGCCGAAACCACCTTACACATGCGAAGACTCTCCCATCTCCGGCACTACCAGCTTCCTATCCGCCAACCTGGCCACCACGAGCACCATCAACGCAAAAGCGTACTCACCAGCCCCAAACATACCTCGTCCCCATTGCTACCGCAAATGCATACCACGCATCGGTCTGGTCGGTCATTTGCGAATCCATCGCAATGAGACTCGCGGACCAGTGTCTGGGCCACCACGATACACCCACCACACTGTCCATGCACATTCAGTCACCGTATAGGCTTACATGGTCACAGGTGCATCTATGAAAGCCTGCGGTAAAACACCGTCGGTCAAACTTAATCATCACATATCTCCTCACCAACACATACATCATGCATGAACCCGCCCATCAGTACCCACCACAAGCACAGAATTGGCATCTCTTTTACAAGTGCGAGTCGTGCTCTTTGGCTCCTTCTTCATGTGGTCCTTTTACTACCCTGACGCATGTGAGATAGAATAGTCATCCACTTTGTGAAATCCTGGTGCGCTGTATGGGGGTCAGGTCGTGCGTTTGGCGCGTGCAGTCGGGGTCTCTAACTCTGTCAGCCACTGCGCCCAGTCTCAGTATCTGCTGATTGATCGGTTAGAACTGTGGACTGGTGTGTGGGGGAGGGAAGGGCCAATTTGGTCGGCACAACCAACGCATATTCCTCACTACAAACAATCTGAAGGGCTTGGAACTGTGACGGTGCGCTAAAGACTGTGGCTTATAAGGTTACCGACTTGGGGGATAACTCGACCCTCCTAGCAGGACGGAGAGTCAGGCTGCAATGGCTCCTTCTTAATGTAGCCTTCATGCCACTCCTATTCAGCTGGGATCTGAGTCGCCCCCCTTTGCTGTATGTGAAATCTTGGTTCTTTGTACGCCAATCAAGGGTGTGGTAGTACGCCTAGGTGAATACTAAAGCTGAGATAACAGGACAGGATCCCGACACACCGTCCACACCGTGCCAGCTACCTGTGTCCGGATCGCGCCTCCGGTCTTCTTAACTCCGTCTTGGCATCTAGCCCAGATAGGTAAGGGAGGAGAGAGTGCGGTAGGTGCAGTTCCAGTCCAGTGTCACTATGAACTAACTCACGTTCAGGCCATAGTCCCTGCGCTCACCCTGCTGTGGGGCACACGGTGGGCAAACGATTGTCGACTGTCATGGGATAATTCGCCAAAAGCAATAGCCGCCTTTGAACTAACGTGTGCTTCTGCCGTCCTGATTGTTTCTTGTCTTGCCGACTATTCTACTTTCAGGTACCAGATAGTTTACCGCAGAAAAATTAAAGTTTCCCGTTTTCTCAATAACTCTGGTATACGTCAGGGTGCCATCATACCTTCAGCCCTTCTTTCTGTACCCTCACGCCTTATGTTACCCAGTAACTGTCTCGGTGCCCTCCGTGAACGATAATCTTGATGGGCGAGGTCCAAGAGAGTACCTAGACTACGTCTTAGCTCTACCCTCAAAACTACCGGCCTGCTGAATGACCGATAAGTTTTCTGGTCACCGCACTGTCGGAATCCTGATGGGATTGCAACTTTCCAGCGTTTGGCGTTATTGTGCATGTTATTTGTTCTGGTTCCTTCACATCGGACCCCATTTTTAATGAAATTTAGTGACTAATTTGCTATTGTCGCCATTCATGCGCATTTTACAGACCATCTGGCACTTCCCATTATCCCCTTCTGCCCTTCTGTAATATTTTTGCTTGTAAAAAGGTGCCTGTAAAGCTAAAAAAGTTCTGCTTCTACTGCCTACCTTCTTTTCCTACCCTAGTCGTTGCGATTAGTCGACTACATTTTCAGAGGTCAGGCGGTTGGTTGATTGCTTCCTTCAGGACACGACACACCAGCTTCATTCTGGCCAAATGGTGGGAAAGTTTCCTTGTCCGCGCCCGCACGATCTTTTCCGCACTCCTTGCCGAACTTCCGTTTATAAAAATTAATCATTTATCTTCCCCACTCACTGCCCCGAGCGTTGGAATATATGCAGCAACGCAAAACTTCACTAATAACTTCCAATTTATAGTTTGTTTTTGTTTATCCAAATTTCGATAAGATGTGGTTTGGTAGCCCCGCCTGATGGACACAATACTGTTGGTTTGGGGTTAAGGGTTATGGTTAGGGGTCAGGGTTAAAGGTTAGGGTTTAGAATAAGAAGTTATAGTTAGGGGGTGGGGTTAGGGTTAGGGGTTAACGCAACTATTTCTCAACCATTAAAAGTACAACCACGCACTCCCAATAGCTTTTCCTTTGCATATAACTACTTGACCTCATCGCCTGTTCGTTCCCCGACTCCAACTGTAAAAACCCTTATTAACACCTGTCCCGTATTAGAGGTGACTGGGGTTTGTTTATTTCAGGTGAGGCTGCCAAACCACTTCCGTCCCTAACTTCGGCCTAAAGTTTGCATTGTTGTACTTTGCAGCGATGTCTGGCGAACTATGTTCACCGAATAATAAAAACGCTTTCGCTGCCCCTCTCATAGACGTAATTTTTTGGAAGCAAAGTACTTCGTAGACGGCACGCGTTTGAATGACACAAAGGCTTTAAGGAGTGAGGGGTGTGCTACGCCCGCGACGACCCCCCGGTCGTCGCTCAACTTTGTCAGTAGAGAACAAAACTCAATCAGTAATATGGGGCAGGGACAACGTGAGATATTTATAACTGTAACTTTTTAGCGGATTGACAAGTCTTGTTGGAAAGCCTGGTTTTTACTGCGCCAACTTTCGAAGAAAATCCAATCTCGAGAGAAGGTCCTTTATATTATCGTCGTTAAAACGTGCCCATATCCGGATAAAGCACTCATACTATTTCAACACAGCCAGCAGACTAAAATGTTAATCTCTGTCTAGTGATTATCCTTCTCAGCGAAAACATACATAGAAGAAGCTATGCAGTGATTATGACAGAATGAGTGGTCATCACATCAAGAAATACAACCTTGACGAGATTCTGTGGACCAGCCAGGACACGCAAGTTCAGTGCTTCTCTCTCACTCAGCACACTTTTACGGAAAATCCACACTCAGCATGGCTAAATGGCTTTTCTGACGTCTGGACTCCCTCACACTGAGCTGTGATACAACAGTAGGATCAGCCGTACGCCTCCTACAAAGAAGTCAAGAAAATACGATTCGGCACAAATTAAGACCCGGTACCATCTGCGTTGACCTTGCTCTCCACCTCGATCTCACAGAGTCTGACAACTAAAAGTACCTGCGACCCACCTACTAGGCGTACAGGATGCCAGGAAATATAAACCTATCCAACTGCCCAGATTCTACCTCAAGACGCATTTCAACTTTGGAGGGACGGTGTATGAGCGAATCAAGATATCTTCGATGGCATCGTCCTTGTTTGGTTTGATCCGAAAATTTTGAAGCACTAAATCCCAGAACTCACAGACTATTTTGACGGATTTCTGGGACCACACCTTCGTTGTCCCCAAGCCTGAACGATATCCGACATTCATAAGACTCCGAATTTCAGTTTCCCTGACATCCGGTTCATAATGAAAGCGGAGTGAAACGATCAGGTACCGTTCCTTGCGGCCTGAATGCCGACAGGAACCTCGAGACGACAGTGTACAGGAAGGCCACCAAAATGCGTCAGGCTTTAAGTTACTGTTGTAATCACACATTATGGCAAGACGTAGTTGTATTCTAACCCTCTACACGAGGGCAGACATGCACTACAATGGGGCGGAGACAAAATGATCGGACACCAGTACCTCCAATGAATGTTCGGTGCCGATTATCAACCCACAACTTTATAGAATACGACAGACAACCCAAGCCAGCTATAAGGCCAACAGCGGAACACTCAAAAGTGTGGGAGCATATCAGGAACAGGTATTCCTATCATAAAGCCACTGAGTACCTGCGTAGTCCAGAGACGAGAACCAACAATAGGACCTCTGCTCACGAGATTTAGGGTCCGCTATTAGGATGCGGAACGGTGAACATAGTTTTTCGTGTCTAGTTTAGTTTCTGTGAAGTGAGTTACGTCTTAGAGGCCGGTATGCAACTGCAGATCCGCATTAGCGAACATCCACAGGGAACGAGAAGAATGAACCATATTTTGCTCGTGAAGGGACACTATGGAACTTCTGAACATTATTTTGCGTCCTGGAAGCCGAAAACGTGAGCCTAGGGAACAGTCAGACAACTAGAGAGATATTTAAGGTTCGACACATTAGCGCAGCTTAAATATTCCTCTGCGTGGCCCGATCTATTACCAGATGTTCCAAGTTCCCGAAATTAAAGTTCAGTTTTTCCCCTTTGTTGGTGTGCTTCTAACTGTTTGAAAGGACCTGCTATTCTAACTTGCAATAGGCTCCCAGTATGGCTATCCAAGTAAATAATGTGTCAGAAAGCCAGGAACCTACGTTTTTTGAAGCACTTTACTCAACATTGTGATGTGTTTCTTCATTACTGACTTACGAACTGCATATATAAATTTGACAATTGAACTGAAGTCTTCACTACTTGAACAAACAGAGTCGGTAGGCATTTTGAGCTCGCAACTGGCAAACATTGGCCTTTATTATACCAGAGGACAGAAAGCGAACACCAATTGTTTGGCGGCAGTCCTGTTGGTAGCAGCAAATTCGGTGGTCGGTGTAACAGCATATTATTATTATTTTTATTAGTAGCAGTGGTTGTAATGGTGGTGGTAGTAGTAGCAATGTTGATAGTAGTAATAGTAGTAGCAGCAGTAGTTGTATTAGTAGTGGTGATAGTCGTAGTAGTGGTAGTAGTAGTAGTAGTAGTGGTAGTAGTAGTAGTATTAGTAGTAGTAGTAGTTGCATTGTAGCAGCCGTGATAGTCGTCCCCGTGGTCGTGTTCGCCGTTGTCCATGTATTTATTATCACCACTGATGCAGAAATCGATGCGGAACCGACTTGTATTGTACCTATTTATACATACGGCGCTTAATTTTTTCCACTAATGCACTTATGGAAACCTCTATGGCAGATGTTAGAGGACGATGTTCGTTTGTTGTCACAGTGTGTCTGCCACCTCACTACTTGCAGGCCCAGATTACGACCGCCTAAATTACTGAGACCTGCTTTTCACCCATACCACCACTTGGTTAGCATACTGGGGCAGATTTGCAGCCCAAAGATGTGCAGTCTCAGTAGCATCATTGTTGCGACTGTGAGTGCAAACCAGCCTGCTATCACGCGTTTTTTCTCAGACAAATTTATGCGCGTACACGTTTTGCAGTGGACTGAGGTCATTGACGTGGCATGTGGCGAATGCATCAACTCCTCTTCACAACCAGGCACACATGCGTGCGTCTGAAGACTCTCTCCGAGAGGACTGGATCTGCTGATGCACCTGTCAATTCTCGTGGAAGGTATCTGTGTAGGTGATGGCGGGGTGACAGCGCGGTGACCTTAGGACCCATCCCGCGGGTGGGGCCTCTTTTTACTTCTGTCTTTTTTCTGTTCTTGTTACCCTCCTTTTAACCTTTTTTAAAATTCTTTTTCCGCTCCCAACCTGATACGGATGAGTTGCAAGTATCGTCGCACCATATTTTTGATCAAGGCTGGGTTTGCTGATTTCATCTCCCTACGTCTCACGGTTTTGGGGGCGCGAACAGGCCTAGATGCACAAAAGGGACAAATGTAGAAAAAAACATACGGGGCGGGGGAGGAGGGAGTGTTTACTGCGGTGAGGACCATCTATTACCCTGTATAAACCCTCCTTCCTCCCCTCAGCCCCCAACAGGTGGCCACCCGGTCGACATTTAGTCTCCCCTGTAATTATATGTGAGATTAGATTTCAGTCATTGGGCTCCATGACTCACGGGGTGGCCGTTTGTGAGACTTGATGACCACCAACGCCACTATGGCTGCTGAAACCGTCAGCGGCTAATCTGACTAAGAGGTAGACTTTGCAGGTATGATTCGTTTGGTAGTTCAGGCTGAGGGTGCTTTGGTTTTATTCGGTCGTCTGAATAATGCTGCGCCTCCACAAAGAGCTGCCGGAGTTGGAACCAGAATCAAGCACAAAGGAGTGCACAAAAAGACGCATAAAGGGAGTTTAGGTGCGTGGACAACGAAGAAACAGTTAGCACAGGTAGGTCATGGTGAAATAGGACATCTGAGATGAAGACCAACTAAACACGTAAATAAATCAATACAACGGAAGCCGAAACAACAAAACAAAAGAACAGTGACAGAGACAACGAGTGCCCCAAAAGTAGTTTTCTTTGGCCTTTTACTACACAGGAAAAGAACTCATAGCCAGTGGCTCCCACGTGCCCTGCCTCAAACAACATCTTTGAAGAGACGTCCTCACTGGCGAGACAAACAAACTGCAGATTTCTAGACCGCCATTCATTTAGGCCCACCCATTGGGGATTCAGAATCTATTGATTTAGGGTAATCTGAAGTTTTCAACTGGGCAAGCCATTTGATCAATGGGGACTCCTCTGCGAGACATGTTTGCATCCCCCTCTATCTTGCTCCGATCAGCGTCTATTTTTTCCAATAATAGGTAGCTATCTAGCGACAAGAAACAGACCGGTCACGCTTACGCTCTTAACGACGCAAGTTAAACTTGAAAAGAGGCTGCACGGAGTCACTCCGTTTTGGAATCACATTGGTGCTAAAGCACTTGATGACGAAGCTCATATTTGACCCCAATAGCGGAATTAATTCAGTCTCTTATAAAATATTCCCCGCCAGGATCCACTGAGTTTAGGCCGGATGCAGTTGTTGACTCATCATCGACAACAACAGACTAGTCTTCGCAAGTCAAGTGTCTGCATAGGTATTGACTGTGCGGTAGGCGTAGAAAGTTAGTTCCAAGGCGGAAGAACAGGAAAAAAGGGTTGGGTCATCGTGACTACCGGTCCAGGGGTCTGGACGCTGTTAGACTCAGAATTAGTACCCTGATAAAGAGAGTGATGGAAGAGGTGGAACCAGGGTAAAGGTCACCGTAAAATCAGCAGAGGATATTGTCTAAAGTGTTGATAATTCTACCGTGCTTTTAGAACTGTCACATTACGCAGTGGTTTAAAAAGGCTACAGGCGATAGTTCTCCGACAAAAAGGGACACAGACTTGTTTGCCACTGCCAGTCAGTCAAAGTACAACCCGGGGAGGGGTGACGCGAGATATGAACTCGGGTTCATCAGGTAGGTGATCAACTAACCCAAATGCTAGACTGTTTAAAGAAAGGACCCACGTCCTGTCGAATGTAATCGGGAATATGCAGAGTCGCGTGGAGGCGGTGTTCACTAATGTAATTTGACTACAGGACGGGGTACGAATGTCTGAGTCCAAGTTGGAGCTTCGAATTGGAGTCAACGCATACTCACGAGAGGGATATTTTATGTCGCCACGCTCTGCCTTCGTGCTGAGTACTTATATTGCCCTACTGACATGCTTGCTGACCGAATGTTTTTGAGCTGTCTGACCATGCAAACTATAATCCGCTTTCCATATCAAAAATCAATTACAGGATAAGCTCCAATTCAAATTTTTCGTCAAAGAGAAATCAGGTATGTTATTGGATAGTCGCTATTTTCCAAACTCTGGAGGATTGTATCCGCCCTTAACTATCTGGAGAGTGGGCGGATGGAAGGTAATTAATTTGAGACAATGCATAGTAAAGTCGTATGAATCATGTGTAAACCACCCATTCTCAATTTTTGCTGCAAGGTGTAGCTATGCCATGTGTCTGCTCGGTTTTTATTCCCGTAGAAGCGAAGGCCATCGCAGACTTGATTAATGTGCGGGCATAATGGATGTCTAGTCCGTGCCGCTTCCACCCTAACTCCAGGTGTCTCATAACCGCACACACACGCACATAAGGAAGGTATCAGAAAGAAGACAAGGGGGCTTGGTGTGCGTATGTCCTGCTCACAAAGCAGTGCGCTGTCTGGTACATTGCAAAGAAGGCTGACTCCAGCTGCAGACGGCGTCATTCCTGGTGCGGTGAGGAGTTAAGCCCGAAACCTTTCTCGTGGCTGAATATCTAATTAAGGTAATGACCGTAGAGCTCATTTTAAGTGTACATTTTGGGCAGAAAGCACACATTGCTGAATACCAGCGGTTTTAGCACGATATCGGCCGACTGACTGACAAATGTGTTCTCAGCCAAAATGACATTGGCATCTAGGGCTTTGAATGTGTCTACAGGCCTAATGATCCGCACACTAAACACTGCTAGCAGGATCCGGAGATCTCGCCCCTGCCCACCGATCTGGTTCATGAACAACTTTGTCATAGTGCATCAGCAGGAGCAGGAGCAGCAACAACAACAGCATCATCTTATACGGTATTGGTATGGAAATTTGCCGCAGCAGTATCAGGTCGACAGAAGGAATGTAATTTCTAAAATTGTCGCCTGCTCCATGCCATTTTTGAAGGCTTGACCAGCATCACAAAATTGCCATGGATATGTGGCTTAAAAGGTATCTTCTAAAGCCATACCCGAATGGTAAATTAAGGACAACTGGTCCCATGTTGGAGGGGGAGGGGATTAGTAGCGTCACCATGGCTACGAACTGCGCTCTATCTGGCCACGAGTACAGCCTCCTCCGATAGGTAGAATAATCTCTTGAAAGTGGCATGCAGCCTGTAAAGGATGCTATACAGTCTTATTTAAAGCGGATATGAAGGTTGTATTTCTTCTCAGAGCCAAAACTTCAAACATCCATCCTGACGGTAAGGAAGAATGGCAAACCCAAATGACACGAAGACTGCCTTCTCTCTGTGGGTTCACACTTCTAATTTCCCTTTTCTTCTCAGGGGAGATAAAACAGAGTTTGCTAGACCGAGTTAACCCCATGAATACTCTTTTGAATAATTACTTCTCAGCAGTGAACCACAGTCTCTCCTTGGTGTCGTTTTTTCTGCAGAAAGTAGGAGTAGAGTAACCCCGGTAGTCGTTGAAAACTGCCCATATACGTTGTCAAAATTATGAATGTACTGAAATGTCGTTCCCATAGTACAAATAGGTTCAAACTAACAGAGTACTATCTCGGACATCCGTCTTTTGCCATGAACAGAACTTCTCCCGTCAGTATTTAGCAGCTAAAGCCACCTTGGCATATCATTCAGTCTTCATACCAGTGGGCAGACTTAACCAGCCCAGTAAATCCTGTTCGAATTGGCTGTTATACGCCGACGTCAAATATTTGCTTGGGTAGCACAATGTTACAACGCACTATTGACCGAAGACTGCATGAAATTTAACTCGCACAGAGTTTACTGAGACCTGGACAACTTTGTTGATATGACAAGGATAAAAAATAGTCACTGGAAGCTGGTGTTTGCGTTCACGTCGCCAGTCAACCTGCGCTCAGCATTAGAGGGTCGAAAATAGTGAGTGATTAAATATAGATCAAATAGGTTATTCTCAGGGAATTCTATTCAGCAGATCTAAGTTTGGTCAAAAATCCAATTATGGTTATCTTGAGCCAAGTACTGGAAATGACATGCCAACACTTCCACTGTACGTGCTGGACTGAAATATTGGAAAAACAACCGTCAGATAGGGTAACATTACCGCCAACAATAAGGAAGGCTGACGTGGCCATTTCTGGCCTATTGGCCGTCAGCATCCAGCTCTAACCAACTCCAGGTCTTGCAACCCCTGAGGCGTGATCCCGCGACCTGTTGGTTAGAAGTTCAGCGGCCTAACTGCTGGGTCACGGGCTCGTTGTCCTGTCGGTTGCGACTGGGTACATGGAATGATAGAGAGGTGCTTACCGATCGCGTTACGGGACACACTCGACCCACTTTTTGTTTTTGGACTCAATCTCGAAACCTGCCAGCATCTGCACAGCGGCTAGCAGCACATTTAGGCACAGCAGGACGAGTGTGTCCCGTATCGCGATCGGCTAACGTCCCTCTACCAACCATCAGGTGTTGAATGGCAGTTAGACGCTATGTTGAGACTTTTGTCCTGGTAAAAGCCTTGGGGCGGTCAACTGATAAAGCGTCTGCTGTCATCCAAAGGTGCTGGGTTTCATAGCAGAGGCACACCACATTCTGTGAGCTTAATTTAAACAAAGTAAAAGGAATAATTGTCTTAGTTTACGCTGGGGAAAATAAAACCCTGTTTAGTTTGTGCTCCAGGATCAAACATGAATAGCGCGTTATCTGTCAGTTGAAGCCCACTTCAAACTGTTAAAGCTAGACCATAATTTATGACAACGACACACCCAATGCACATGTGGGGCGTTTACCGCCAATCATCACGTGCGAACTTGCATCTGACGTCGAAAAAAAAAACAAAAACGGAGCCGCTGCGGTTTTCTTAATCTAGGTGCTTTCGACCATGGCACAACATAAAAAACTTGCCTACTACTCTTTACATCAGCAGTCTGTCATGTGTTCACCCTGTTAAATTTCAGAGTGAACCGGTGGGTCGTGACACACTCGCCGATCAGTCGCAACACTCTCCACTGCGTGATCAATTCCGGCGCCTTGTTGGTCTTTTCAAACAGTTCCAAAATACAGTTCAGGTCATCCCTGCTCTCATTACAGTTCACCTACACTGAACCGCCATTTTCTGCATTTCTCGAAGAGACAACACTGAGGTCTGAGTACTGTCCTTCTATCGTCGCTCTTGTTCGTCTTGTCTGCCAGCCATAGAGTCGGCGTATGCAAAGGTGCTCGTCATTCGTATTCATGACGTGGCCGCTCCACTTGTAGTAGCCGGAGGCAGGGCAGTTCACACTCCGCTGCATCTACTCGTTCGTTGTGGTGTTCAGTATGCAGGCATCTGCAAACAAGAGGACGTGGACACTGACCTTTGAGACTCACGACGGTACCTTGGTGCGTTGGATGTTGAGTGACTGTCCGTCAGTTCGGCAGGCGACGTTGATTCCCTTCCATTCCCCATGGTAGACGTGAATAGACTAGCATGGCGGAGAGGACAATATGAGGAGATGGGAGGGGGGGGGTGAATACACAGCCCTGCTCCACACCCCCTGTCCCCACCAGTGCTTCTGAAACCACCCTGTTGTCCATGACGCTTGCCATCATCTCATCATGTGTATGGATCATTCAGGCATCCGAATTTCGATATTATTTCTCAAAGCTCATCGCGAATCACCGCGTCGAGGACATTGTCGGGTCCACAAAGTTGGTGCAAAGGCTTGTCCACACCTCCTGGTGCTTTTCTTGCAGTTGGTGAGCTTCACAGCTGATTTCTATGGTTCAACGGTATCTTCGGAATGAACGTCCACATTTGGAGGGAAGTCCTCGCTTCATTCGTCTGCTCAGGCGTCCGTGTAAGATTCGGGTAAATATCTTATCAGCAAGACTGGAAAGAGCGATCCCACGGTGATTGTCTCAGACATGACGACGTCATCTGTGTTTGTGTAGATGGACGTTGGTTGTTTAATTGAAGTCGTGTAGTACATGTCCATATATTCACATCTTCTCAAGTAGTTTGGTGGATTTGTCCGTGATTTGAGGGCCGCTGTATTTGTAGATTTAGGTTGGAATTTGCTCGACACTTTGTGCTTTGCCACTGCACGTCTGTTGCGCAACGCCGGTTTTCTCCCACAGGAAGAACGGATGACCACGACACACATGAGGAAGTCGGTTAATGACTTCCTGTGGGATTGTGTGAGGAGGGGTGATTGAGGGTACCCTTGAAGTGGTCGATTCAATGCCGCAGGATCTGCGATTTCTCGAACAGTAGGATTAATCTTTACTGTCTGAAAGGATTAACCCTTCATGGCTGGACTCTGGCGTAGTCACCTTGACCTTGATGTCATTGACTTCTTTGATGTCGCGGAAAAATTCCCCAAGTCAGCACTCTCGACAAATCCCTTATTTCTTCGGTCTCTTGAGTTTGTCCGAATCTGTTATCTACCCCAAAATCTACTGCAGTGGGCTTTAGTGTGGGAAGAATGCGGCCTTATAATGTAGGTATCGTTCCTGGCATAAATCCTGTTTAGAGTGCTTTCTGTATAGAGCAGTTGTCAGAGTTCATCGCCGTCTCCGCCGAACCGTTTCCAGTTTTGTGGTGGCCTGGAGGACTTTCCGGCCGTTTCGGCCATTGGTTCTCATCGGCAGCACTTTCTCCCAACCACTTGCTCTTGCTCCAGCTTCAAGTAATTACGAAAATGCGATGGGAGGTCAATCGCGTCCTGGATTACGCTGATGCATTTAGCTGGTGTTTGCTTCGTTTGCCGATGCCTGTGGAATTGCAGTTGTAGCCTCCTCTTGGAGATGACAAGACGGTGGTCCGTCCAGCAGTCTGCAGCACACATCAGTCTGCTCACTGGCACATCACGCTGGTTACGCCGTCTGACGAGGAGGTGGTCCAGCAGTTGACAGCTACACGAGTGAGTGTGTTCTCTTCCAGATTGGAAGGTGGAAGTCGGTATTGGTGAGGAGAAGCCTGTGTTCCGTGCAAGGCCTTCAGAGACAGGAGGCCAGTGCTGTTGCAGTTACCGGTCCCGTGGCCGTTCCTAGCACAGTCGTACAGACAGCCTGCAGATCTTCGTGGACTTCTTCCTTCAGCTCACCGGGGCTTTTGGCGGGGTGAGTGTAGACGCTGAGAATGATGATGATGATGATGAATTTACTTCAATGGAGTGGCAATCTTATGGTCATGAGGAGGCTACCGACTGACTGTAGAGCAGGAGCTGAACAGTCATCTCACGAGGAAGTACTTGACGGAGGAGGTGTTTCCGGAGTCTCACCTCTCTGTTTCTGGACCTCTTTTGCAGAATAATGTGTATCCGGTGCTCGTCTGCACTTGTCTTTCTTCACAGAAACGGATGTCTCTGAGAACTGTGATGGCCATTTCACATTGAGATACGTCACAGTCTACGGGATTTTTCTGCCTTTCTGGTGAGTTGACTATTGTATTATCGTAAGGCGAGAAAACATTCCTGACTGCAATAGTAAACAGGATTGTTTTAAGAGTCTGCGCGGTGATGCCCTCCACCTATATATGATGAATTATTCGTCAAGTAATACGGACTCGCGTAACTAACAGCATTTAACGTCATCCTTGAGAACTGTTCAACGTCTGCTTGGGATCAAATGTCTGATTTTGTGTAGTTTTCTCGACAAGATGTGGTTATGTTACCGCACCTGATGGACGCAGCATCGTTGACGCACTTAATTATTCTGAATTGGCGTGATTACGTTTGCATGGTGTTGTTGTTAGGGCAACTATTTCTCAATCACTTAAGATACAAACGCTCATTCCGCGATAGCTTTTGTTTTGCATACAATTACTTGACCCCATCGACCTTGCGTTCCCCGGCCCCACCTGTAAATGCCCCCATTACCTCCGGTCCCGCATTACAGGTGGCTGGGGTTTGTTTACCTCAGATGCGACTACATAACCACACCTGACCGTTTTCTCTACTTAATTTTCCCCTTTGCCCTGTTTCTGTGGCTGTCGGTTAAGATAATGGTGGTGGGGTTTTTAGAGGGGAATTAGGATAAGAAAAAAGATCAAGAAGAAGTAGAAGAAGCTTGAGTAGAATCCGGCAGCGGCGGCGGAATTGGGGGATGGTGCGGAGGAGGAGGAGGAGACAGGACATTAGAAGTATATGTACACTTCACAAAAAATACGCCATTTCAGTCGAATCCCAGTTTGGCTTTAAGAAAGTGGTTCAGTAACCTGCCTAGAGGGCTACTAAAACGGATTCTCGCGTAACGACCAATAATTTTCGTTTTTTCCCGAAAGGAAATCAATGCACAAACTTGTTTTTTTTCAAGCAATTCGCTGGCAGATCCTTGTCCGTAGGCCTTGACTTTTAATTATTGGGGAAACGCAAACTGTGATATGGCAGTCTTAGCACTACCAACAAATTTAAACACTATTTTCCCGGAACAAATATGAACAAGGCAAAGGCAACGAAATATCCAGAGTTTAGTGACGTCATAAAATTTTGTAACCTTCTATTCACCTGAGTACGGTCATTGTGAATTAATAAGATAATGAAATAAACCGCTCAATAAGAGAGCAACCTAAAGGGGTGGATAAGAAAAAAGATCAAGAAGAAGTGGAAGAAGCATGAGTAGAATGCGGCAGCGGCGGCGGAATTGGGGGAAGGTGCGGAGGAGGATGAGGATGAGGATGAGGATGAGGAGGAGGAGGAGGAGGAGGAGGAGGAGGAGAAGGAGGAGGAGGCGGAGACAGGACATTAGAAGTATATGTACATCAGGTTAAAGAGGAAACAATTCTCCAAGTTAAGCGTCACTGAGAGTTATAGTGGTGGAGAAAAATGTTTTACTTCAGGTCCTTGCTCAAACATATGGCCATAATAGTTGAATTTAGCCGTTATTTGACCCAGTCGAACCAGGCTACCCAAGATACGACAGTTGTTGCATTTTGTCGTCCAGATTCTAGTTCTAATTGGGATTGCGCATGCGTGTATCGGTGTTTCCACCGTTCTGTCGGTAGCTGGAGTGTTTTGAAACTGCAACGTCTTGCGTTTCTGCTACATTCCAGACGAGACAAAGGTAACAGCGGAGTTCTTGGGTGGAAAGCTTACCAGGTGTGACAGTTTTGCGCTAGACAGACAGCCATCTCACACACCAATTCCCACCCGAAACATAGACGTCTCGAAACCCATTCGACACGCCCCTCTCCTCACGCATCTGTCTATCCGGGATGGGCCTAGTGATCCGTCTAATCCCCCCCCCCCCCCCCCCCCCCCCCCAGCCTCGCACACATTTGCCCTCTGCGATAAAGTCTCAGCAGGCATGTCGGCGGACACACCCCTCCACACTTGGCACTACCATACTTGCAAGGTTTGGTTTTAATGTAGCCAAGTGACGTCTAAGACGGTCACTTTGGCACCTCGCGTGAAAAGCAGGCAGAACATTGGATTACTAGTGTTAGGGATACAATATATGCAGATCCCACAGTGAAATGGATAGAGCGTTATCCAGATTGGCAGACTGTCCGAGTTCGAGCCTCGCCCCATCTACACTTTTGCCAATACCTACAATTTGGCGTCAGAATAAAAATCACTATAATTGTTACTAGAAATTCGTCAGAATGTGTTCGCTTAATTGTACATAGCCTTTGACGCCTTTTTTATGACTACGTAGAAAATTAGTAAAAACCGCGTCAATATATCTATTCACCATCTCTCTCTCTCACTCTCGCTCTCGCTTTCTGAACTTTCAAAATTCTGTTATAAAAGGACACTTCTTGTGCAGGTCAAACAACTTTAAAGTTTCATCTTACCTTTTGCTAAAGATTGAAGAAAAATGCAAGTGTTTACTGCATTTATGGAATAAACCACCGACTGCCGACTGTTCATGGTTGGAAGGTTGTGGCCCCTGCCACTAAGCCACATTATGATTAATGCTGTGCTACATTTGTTCAACAGGGGGGGGGCTGTGCCAAACAACATATAATGTACTAGTTGTATACAAATGTTTCATGATGCCCCCTCCTGACAGCATGGGTAATAGCTAAACCGGTGCAGCGCCCCTCAAAGATCCTCCCAA